ATTGCTGACCTCCTCCTTTTCAAAATAATATTTTATTTATTTATTACAGGTATTTATATAGTATATTTACCTGGCTCTCAGTTTGTTGTAGCGGTTTAAATACTTTGTCACTTATAAGAAACAAGTATGCAGATCAGGAGCTCTGACTTAATTTGCTGTATGCGTGTTACATTTTAGTGGCAGAAAAGGAATTAAAACCAGTGTGGGTAGGCAACCTTGGCACGCCATCTGTGGTCAAACTACACATGCCTTCAGAACTCTGGGAGTCATGCCTGTGGCTGTCAGTCTTGCAATGCCTCGTGAGACTTGTAGCTCCACAAATGCTTCAGTACGGAGGTTGCCTACCCCTGCCATAGCCTAGGAAGCCAGCATTTGCAAAAGAAAGTCAGGGATGCAATGTGCAGATTTTCTTTGTAAATGATACACTTTCTTGGAACTGATTCATAACCTATGGTAAGAATATTTGTAGAGCTCCTAAAGAGACGCACGGTGCACATAACATAGATTTGAGGAATACAGGAGAGACAAACTCCTCATGGCAACTATTGTATTATGATAAGGGTAAACCTAGTTTGATGTAGGCATGCTCTTGTGTTAATATTGCCACTTGTTTCTCACTCTTAGTGCATTCCATATTCTGTGCTGCTGAAAGATTTGGATATGAGGAACCTCAGAGAGTTGGAGGATCTAATCATAGAAGCCGTTTACACAGATATAATTCAGGGCAAACTGGATCAGCGCAACCATGTGCTAGAGGTGGATTTCTGCATCGGACGGGACATTCCCAAGAAGGATATAAGTAGCATTGTTAAAACTCTTCAGCAGTGGTGAGAATCATTTTATTCACATACTTTGCCACGTTGGGCCAGATCAACTAAGTTTAGTAACTGGAGGAATGCAAATTGTCACACAGGACATCTTATTTTGGCACATCTCATGTCAAATAAACTTTTATGTCTCAGCGTGTATAGTGTATTTGGCACATAGTAGAATGCCTAACTTTTATTGTGCCATTATCTTCTTGGCACATTACTGTACACCCAAATATGGACTCATTTTCTGAACCATTATTTGTTTGGCGCAATCAAAAGAGCAGTTTTCCATGTGCAGTATATGTCACAAAGCAGTGTTTTCTACAGCTCTATAGTGACTCTTCCAGTATTTACATCAGTCCTTCCCAAAATCCCCTACCACAGTAGAAGTTATTGGAATGGAAGATCTGCTTTATGGGGGTTAAAAAATACACCCAAAATTTAAATCTATGTTTTTAGTGGGATGACTGGCGCTTTATTCCCTGTTGGATGATTGCTGCTCAAATGTGTCAGCAAAATATGGTGTCCCGTGAATGTTCATGGGGGAAAGCACTGTATTTTTCCATGAGATGGACTGTTTGATATTGGTTAAAGTGACACTAAACTCAGGAGTTAAATATTAATTAAAGGAGAACTATGAGGTGAGTGTTCTTCACTCACCTCATAGTTCTAGCCGACCTGTGACAATGAGACTGTCGCAGGTCGGCTCAGTAGATCGGGATTTGAGCGAACGCATAACGGCGTTCGCTCACCTCTCGATCCTGTCACAGCTCTCTGCCGTAACAGGGGAGGGGCTGGATTCCCCACGCTCCGATCCGCCAGCGCTCACTGGCGGAATGGACGGGGAGGGGGCGGGTACAGCTGGCTCTGCCTCTAGATAGGCAGAGCCAGCTGTCAGTCACGCAGCTGGGCGGATCCCGGCATGATTGTCGGGATCCGCTTTAGCTGCGGCGTCTCAGTATACTGTGAGCATCAGCTCACGGTATACTGCGGCGTCTCAGTATACAGGGAGCTACAGCTTGCAGTATAGTGAGCTTAGGGTGACGGGAGGACGCTAGTTTGTGTGCTCCCGTTACCCTAAGGAGAACTATGGGGAAAAGCCTTAACCCCATAGTTCTCCTTTTTTAAAGTGCCATAACTGTTACCAAAAATGTATGTAATGTATTGGTGCTGACACTGTCCTTTCTTCTGGAGGGTGGCTACTTTTGTCCCCCACGGTCCCTGTGTGTGTTGTAAAGTAGTCACCACTCCAAGCTCCCTCCTGTGATGGACTACAATCTCACTACAAAGTAAACAAGTCATGAGATTGTAGTCCATCACAGGAGTGAGCTTGGAGTGGTGACTACTTTACAACACACACAGGGCCCATAAGGAACAGAAGTAGCCACCCTCCAGAAGGAAGGACAGTGTCAGCACCAATTCAGAGATGATTTGAGGATATAAAGCCGAGTGATACACAAATAAGATACTTTTATGTTCATAGTTAAGGAACTTGAATGTATTTTTAGGGTTTAACTCCTGAGTGCAGTGTGGCTTGTACAGTAGGAAACGGGTAGGTTTTGATTGCTGATCACCTTAAGAAAGTGCATGTTCCATTGCAGTCTGAGTTCTGTTCTTGCTGAAAATTAACCCAGAACAAGCAAGCCGATTAGGAAGATCAGAGTGTGTACAGATCTTGTTCTGGGTCAGTGACTGGGAAAGTATTGAATCCCTCGGATCAACATGACAGCCAAGATAAAAAGCATTTCCATATATAGAGTTCATCAGTGTCTACTGCTTCTTTCAAAGAGAACCTGTTTTGAGAGAAATACAGAGGCTGCTATTGCAGACCACCTTCTGAAAATGCTAGTTGCCTGGCTATTTCTGAGTTCCGTAGCCTGTGACCCCGAAGAAGCATGCAGCAAGCGATGTCTGGAGTTTAGATCTACATACTTGTTCAAGGTCAGAGACACAAAGTATGAGAAGTCACTGGATCAGTATGGCAACCATGCAACTAGCATTACCAAAAAGAGAGGCCGGCAGTGATAGTATTGATTTCCTTGCATGAATACTTGTGCTTAATCATGTCTCATGTAAGTTCTAATCTGTCCACAGCATTGTGTTCTAGGTTCTGATCAGTTTGATTGTTAAATACATCAATTGATCAAAACTGGAGCTATTGCCCATAGCAACCAATCAGCGTCTCTCTTCAGTTTGTTCAGTTAATATGTGAAAATGAAAGGGAGAAGCTGATTGGTTGTCATGCACAGCTGCTCCAGTTTTTGCCTGCTCCAGTTTTGATAATCCCCCTCAGTATATTTTGGCAGGATGTTGTGCTTGTATCAAGCTAATTGTTTTGATGTCAGGTTTTTGTCATAGAAATTCAAGCTGACGTGTTTGTATATTGTGTGACTGTGAAAAGTTCATGGAGACAATAATTGTAATGGCAGAGGATGAAAACATCCGTCCTGGGTTTTGTCTCATCGTAGACTTGTTATTCTTGTATAATTGCCTCTCTGGTCATTATTATTATTCTGTTGTGTGATGAGGATGTGAAATGTCTTACAGTATTAATCACGCTTCTGCAATGTAACTCCAAATAACTTTACATTTCAGGTGTGATGGCTGTGAGGCAGTTTTAATGGGAATTGAACAGCAAGTGCTACGGGCTAACCAGTACAAGGAGAACCACATCCGTACACAGCAGCAAATAGAGACAGAGGTGAGTATAAGCAGACAATTCCATTCAGCTCAACATTGCAGGCTGAAAAAGTATCCATCTATCTCATTTCCCACAAAAGGGTGCACAGGGCTCAAAAACCCATAAGAAGAAGAAAGCATAAAAGTCCACCAGCAGTAGTACCTAATAACTAGGGCTGCAGCTAACGATTATTTTCATAATCGATTAGTTAGCCGATTATTAGCTTCGATTAATCGGATAGCATTAAAAATAATAATACCGTCATTTATGTCAAATAAAATACACAATTACAGCTTTACAGACTTAAAGTTTACTTCAGAATAAAACGGTATGTACCTTGTTTGCAATTGCACTGCACTGGAACGTAGGGCATTGCAGCACGGCACATTACTGATTGACAGCAGGCAGTGGGCGGGTGCAATACCCAGCCTGCTATTACATTTTAAAATATCCAATAGCAGGCTGGGTATGGCTCCCAGCCTCTAGTTCCAACGGGGGGATGGGGGCTAAAACGGCCCAGGGACGGGGCTAAAGTGGCTGAATAGGGGCGAGGGCTGAGGCTGAACGGAGCAGGGGAAGAGGAGACACGGAGCGGCTTCTGAGGTAGGGGGAGCAGCGTGGGATTGCAGAGTCACAGCGGTCTTTCCTCCCTGCTGGTTCTGGCTGCAGTGGTCTGTCTCCCGATTGCCTCTGCCGACACAGGCGGGGAGAGCAGTGGGGATTGAAAAGGGCTCAGACCGCTGCAGCCAGCACCAGCGGGGAGGAGAGCTGAGGAGCAGAGCGGCAGCTGCAACTAATCAGATCGATTTATAATCGCTGAGAATCGTTGGCAATGATTCTCATCATTGATTAGTTGCTTTTAAATCGATTAGTTGTTGCAGCCCTACCTATAACACCCAAACTAAAAATATGCTAAAAGTTCACTATGGATGGAAAACAGCAGTTGAATAAAATAGTTGACATGGTCTTGTCTGTAGAATGATTGTGATCTGGACCCATATGATCACACTGGCCAAACAAACAAAGCTATACCCTGTACAGACACTGTCCATTTTGGTTCCATCTCTGGAGATCTGTGGAGACCATTTTTTAAGGTAACCTGTAGCCATACAATTGTTGCCAGAGCTGGCTGTTATCAGCTGGATCAGGCAATAATTCGTCTATATCTAAGGATACTTTTAGTGTTGGGACATAAGCTGGCAATAAAATGTACGAATTTCGGCCGCTGCTTGATAAACCAGCCAAAATTTGCACAGTGGGTGCCCCTGTGAGCACCCTTCTGCCCGGCATCCTTCAATCAGAAGCCAGTTAAAAAATAAAATCTTCAGGTGAACAGTGACTGGAACCAGCCAGCTGCCATCATTGTTTGAGTATTCTGACGGGGGCACACTTTCCACTGTCAGGACACAAGGAGCGATTTGTCCATCCATGCTGTTTAGCGTGGATGGGGCAATCTTTTCCATTTTTTTTTCCCGTTTTGCCCGCAGGTTGAATAAAAAAAGTATAACAGTAGTTGTATGGCCAGCTTTAGAGGAATTAAGAGGGAGCATTTTTCCTGTCCTGGCTTTCTTATGAAGACTATATACCTGTATACTTTTTTATTTCAGTGTGCCCATTAACACCTGAGAGTTTTGCTGTTTGTAGCTTGAAGCACAAAAAGTATACAAGCTTCTTTTCCGGCAGAATTGGGCGTTTTTGGTCCCATAGACTTTAATGGGAGTGCCTAAATAATGGCTAAACACACGTAATCAGCATTTTTCACAGATTTGTGCCTAACAGCCGTCTCCCCCTCATAGTAATCACCTGATTACCTGAAAAAGCAGAATGCGTGGCTAAGGCATGTCTACTACAGGAATGCAGACACCTCAGCTTTCCTCATTAGAACACTAAGATTTGCTCAGGTGGTTACTATGAAGACAAACCCTCCCATTCAGGATCAGTCTAGAACATGGTAAAATAAATGGCTATTACTTACAATAAAAACTAGAAATCCGCAACAAAGATCCTTGCCATGTATATAGATCACCCAGATGGGTTTCTTTTCTCAGCAAGGCATTGATAAGTCAAGGGCTCTGGTTGTTGGGAGTAATGGGTTTGGTAGGTTCTTGAGCATATGCAGATTGAGTTTGACAAATGTAGGATATGTAGGTACCTTATATAATCTAAGACACTTCCAGGCACATCACCTAGCCATAGTGGGTAACCTCCCTTATTTCTTTGACAGTTAAGCAGTCCAGCTAATCTACCATGTTGTCCCAGCCTGCAAGATTTAGTTTTCTGCAAGGGACCTCCTGTGATCAGTTGATATGGTCCTCTTACTGCAAACATTGACCCTGACCCTCTGCATATTATTGATGGATGCATTTTATGTAAAGCTGGCATACTGTATGTAACGTTGAATCTTAAAATACAATCACACAGTCATACTGAACATCATTCATAGGGGGAACAGTTCCTATTGCCCCCAGCAGCCAGCATGTCTGTAGGAAACTCACAGCATTCATAAATGAAGCACAGAACACAGTATAGAATAAAAGGTAGATTCTGTTTGCTATAGGCAGCAAGAAGGGTTCCCCTTTCAGAGACTTGTATATAAAGTCCACTTTGTTTGCCAGGTGACGTTACTCTAAGTTGTTTATGGCACACCGTATTATAGTACGTGACACATTGCACAATGTGATTGTTAACTTATTTACTAGATGCTCAGTACTGGCAGACATTTGTATACAATTATAATGTCTTGACAACCAAATACAGATACTCCAACATAAACATGAAAAGGTATAAAACCTCAAAGTATAATAAGGAAAAAATGAAATTTGCGACTGCATTCATTTCATAGTCAACGTAGAGCAGTGGTTATTCCTTTTGTAACCAGCAGAGGGCAGTACTTTCCTTTTTGTATGCCATGTTCTTATTCAGTGAGAAATTCCAGTCATCTTGTGTGTGTTTTTATATTTACATTGCTTTGCATTTGAATTTTGTCTTTTTTGTCATTAACCTAGAGTTAAAATGGGTTTCATGGGAATTTTATGACACGGAATTCTACAACAAACTCTGGTGCAGCTAATTGGATCCAGATGTCACATAATTATTTGGAGGGAGTCCATCTGAGTGCAGCGACACCTGATCTCAAAATAAATACAGCTGTTTCGGAAAAGCCAAAGTTTGTTAGAAAATAGATCTAAACAGTATCAGTAAGACCTAACAGTTATCATAACAAGCGCAGAATCAAGTTCTGAGGACGCACTATTCAGCATTAGGTTTTTTAAAAAAAAAAAAGAACTTGGAAAATCCCTTCGGAGCACCATTAAATCCATTGTTAAAAAATAGAAAAAAAGATGACTGATTGTGATTTTACTTGGAAAAGGCTTTCTACCAAAGCTCAGTGACTAGGAAGCAAGTGGTCAGTGGTTACTCTGAATTAGTTCTACCAATCCACAGCTGAGTTGAGAGAATCCATTCCATGGAACAGGTTTTCAGATATTGGCCACATTCAGCCGCCTTGTAATGTGTTGCCGTTTTGCCTATCTCAGTATATTATGTGCACTGTAATTTATTAGTTTTTGTATAGCGTTTTGTTTTTGCATTTTTGTTTGGAGTTTAAGTGATACCCTTTATTGGCCTGAAAAAGGGATCGAAGTAATCCTGAAAGCTTGCTTCTTTAAAAGAGAACTATGGGGTAAGTGTTTTCCCCCCATAGTTCTCTTTAGGGTCACAGGAGGACATATACTAACCTCCTCCAGTGACTCAAAGCTCATTATATAGCGAGCTATTGCCCACGATATACTGTGAGTGCCGCAGCCGGGACGGATCCCAACAATACTGTCGAGATCCACCCGGCTGCGTGAGTGACAGCTGGCTCTGCCTATATAGAGGCAGAGCCAGCTGTGCCAGCTCCCTCCGTTCCTCCAGTCAGCGCTAGAGGATCGGAGGTGGGAATCCCTGCAGGGAGAGGTGACTGACAGTCACCTCTCCCTGCAGGAAGACGATTGGGAAGTGAGCAGATCGGTGCATGTTTCTGCTCACTTCCCGATCTACAGAGCCGACCTGTGACAGTCTCATTGTCACAGGCCGGCTCTAACTATGAGGTGAGTGGAAATCACTCACCTCATAGATCTCTTTTTATCTCTGAAGTTAGCCAATAAAGGGCTAACTTCAGAGATTAATCTCTGAAGAAAGCCAGTAAACATCACTTAAACTCCAAACTTTCTTCACTTATCAATAGCTAGCACAGTACAATACTTTATTATTGTTTTTTTATGTAATCTATCTTTTGTGTACATTTCTTTGTCCACTAGGTGACAAATATAAAGAAGACTTTGAAAGCCACAGCTTCCTCAACTGCTCAGGACACTGACCAGCACCTTGCGGAACGGGAAGGACCACCCCTTGCCGAACAACGGCAGCCCACCAAAAAGATGTCGAAGGTTAAAGGTCTAGTCTCCAGTCGCCACTAGTGAAGCTAAGAACAGGGAGGAGGCTCCAGGGGTACACATCAGTTCCTGGATTGTTTACAGACTTAACCACACACCACCATTGTGTCAGCCTCTTTTACCCAAAACCCCTCGGAGACCCTGCCTGCTAGGAGGGACAATAAACCCATTAGCGCTAACAATGCTGTGACCCAGCTCAGTTTGCGAATTGTCCTGGCAGATCAGGACATGTTGCCTAAATCTTTGTGGATCCTTCTCGCTGCTGGAGAGGTTTGTTGTGTTAAGTCCCTGCAAGGCACAGCAGGCTTCTCTGTCAGAGAGAGGATTACAGAAATGGCTGCTTATTGCTGCGTGGTTACAAAATCCCAGGTGACTTTGGTCCTGTCAGCTCTCTCTGGAGATTTAACATGTGCAGTAGGGACAGGTCTGTATAGTAGGTTTTACTATTTTCTTAAACGTACCCTATTTTTTTCAGGAAATTGTATTTTTTTCCCTCCTATGTCAGGCAACCAACTATTGACTTCTACAAGAGATATTCTAGTAATCGAGAGTCTCTGGGTAAGGGGAGATAGAAACTCCAGCTATAAAAGCACTTTTGTTCTTGTACACCTAAACAACGTAAGAGGTTGTAAGTCAATATTGGACATCCTGCTTAGTCTCCAAAGTGAGCAGAAGGGAATAACATGATGTAAATACATAAAGCATATACATACGTGCTGCTTCCATCAGCAAAGCCTTAGAATTGTCCAGAGGAAGCATGCATCAATGCTAGGGTATAGGAACATACTCTCTGGGCTCTCTCCCAGCTAATCCATTTTCTTTGAACCTTAAGTGTTCTTTGGGGATTTCACAGATAAGGTTCACCTTTGATAAGACACCTCTCTGCAGTGTCATACATCTGTTTCTGATTCGGGCAGCGTGGATCCATTATCTTGATATACACTGTTTCCCTCTCTGTGCATCTAAATCTCCAAATAATTATTAAAAAAAATACAAATCTGGGTATTGTTTTATTTCTTTGTGTAAATAGTAAACAACTAGTTTTCATACTCTGGGATGCAATGGCAGTGATGTGATAATTTGTCACCATCCATTGTAGCTGAATAAACGGCATGTTGGAGTAGTTGATATTACTTCCATGATTTAGATATTTATATATTAAAATTCATTGGTAAAATGTGGTTTTAAACCTTACAATTCGAGGAGAACACGGGGCAGAAATAAAAAGAGTACTTAACCTAATTATAAGTTAAGTTACACTCAAGATAAAGCAGTGAAGTCAGCTCGGAGCAAAAAAACAAACAAACAATTGTTACTTTTTTTTAATTGTTTTTGTTTTAATTCTTTCCCAACCCAAGCAGAAAACTCCTATTGGAGGTAGGAGCATGCAGCTAAAGACCACTGCACATTGGATTCAGCAGGAAGCATGAGCTCTGTGTGGCATGGGCTCACATTTTTCGGGTGTCTGTGTATGTAGAAGTTGTAAAGGGAGGCAGGCTCCACCGGTAGCGGTGAACCATGGATAAGACAGGGCCACACAGGAACAGTCAACAAAAAGGTTTAATGTATGGGGGCTTTTTACAGCAGATCCATAGCATAGAGCAAACAAAACATCTGGTCCTCTGAACCACTTATTAAATGCATGTCAGTTCTTAACTAACACGGCCCCTCCTAATGGGTCCCACAAAACAAACAGGCAGCTCTTGTACTTTTTTTTAGTGTTCTGTCAGCAGTCAGCCTTGTCACCAAGCAGCACGCTCTCGCAGCAGAGATTGAAAGAGAGAGGACCCTCAGCACCAGTCAGCTCGCATATAAAACGGCCTGTGCTCATCGGAGACGAATACCAAGGTATGGCTACCAGATAAGATGTGGACCTAAGACTGGAAGATTTATCCCACCCAAAGCTCTAAAAAGCCTCCAGGACCCAGACATGAACTTATCAAGAACAGAGAAACACATACACTGGCCGCAATCCTGCCAGTGCCTCACCGTATATACATTTTTTTCAATATTGTCTTTTGCTTTGCTTATTCAAATGTATTTTATGGCCACAACATTTGTTTCTTTTCAATTTAGAGCATTTCATTTCTCAATGATGCAATCTTTTCATCATAGTGCTCATAACATATCACAATCGTATTCAGTGACTGGATAGCATAAGGAGACGGCAGTGAACAATGATGAGTGCAGTCTGGGCTCAAAATTTGAAGTCCTGAGCTACTAGCCAGGCCTTAAAAGTTACTCGCCACCAGTTGCCCCACCTAACCCCTACCCTGCCCTGGCCTCAACTCCGCCAGGTCAGCGGTGTGATGCACAGTACAAAAGTCAGTGGTGTAATGCCGAATACACAGGCCAGCTGTGCAACGCACAGTGCAGAGGTCAGTGTGATGCACAGTGTAAGGAAGAAAGAAAAAGGACTTACAGTGCACTTAGCTGATGGTATTCAGGTGCCTCTTCTTGCTCCTGGCGGGGGGGGGGGGGGGTGGCCGGG